TCAGCAGGGTCAACTCGACTGCTCCACCGAGGCATCCAAGGGACATGGCCCACAGCTTGGGCCTCCTATACTGTGTTACAGACTGACAGCAGAAAGTCTAGTTTTTAGCGGGCATAGAGAATGAATTGTTGTGATTCCTGCAGGTCAAAGGCTGCTGATTAGTTGTGGGCACTCTGTACTGAGACTCCCCACACCATATCTCACTCACTCCATGAATGAGGACACAAGTGCAGCCTCCAAAGTTTGATTTACCTGAAATATCATATGAACAGCAGAGCTAGCTACTGCCTCCTGGTATTTTCTGAAGTGCCAGAAAGAAAACATTTCTTCCCATAAAGAACTGTTCAAATATCAAGTCTGCTGGGGCACTGTTCACAACAATCATCTGTTTCCATTTTTCTCTATTTAAATGGTTACACTCTGTTCTCAAAAAATACATCGTGCAGAAAGCAAATTTTACCACTGCATATTCCTGAGAACCAATATTTGAACTCCCTCATTGAAGAAGTTGTACTGGAATCACCAGCATTCTACCACCTACCCAAAGACAGGGAAAGTCTGTAACTTGAGTACATAACGCTTTTGGAAAGACTTTTGCCAAGTGACTGTGAATGCTGGGAAACTCTAAAGCAGTCAGAACCGTCTTTTCCCATTTGTGTATAAAAAAAAGCCATTTATTGTAAATTATTTCTTTGGCTCACTAAACAATAACTCAGAATCTCCATTTTGCCCATGTTTTATACTACTCACTCCAGACTCAATTCTTGGTTTAATTACAGGATGACTCACGCATATAAACCATGCATGTCCCAAGTTCCCCGTTTAGAAAACAATTAAACAAGTTGATATGTTTCCTCATGTATAAAACCAAGACAACAATACAGACCTCCTAAAAACTTAGTGATTAAAAAGCACCAAGTCAGAGTTAGGGGTGTTACAACAAGGTTTTTTCAATGTAACCTCCCAGTTTTATGTAGCATATTTACTTTCCAGCTTGTATTTGAACATTTTACAGGTTCAAAGCCTCTATAGCCCTCTATATCATTCTAGAAAAGCAAAAAGGGAGAAACAGACATTTTAAGAGGAGAAAGGGGAAAAAAGACATTTTAAATATAGCGCATGACAAAAAAGTATGTACACAGAAGGTTTGAAGCTTTTCTCCATGTGCTGCAGCGGCAAAATGACCCTGGGGGGGAACCAAGGCCCAGAACTACAATGAAATATATCCCGGGCCTTGCCTCAGATGCTGGTACCCTGTCGTTAAAGCATGGAGACGAATGCAAGTCCTCAGTCTGGAATTTGCCAGAGCAGGCTCCCTGTTCTCTCCCCAGCCTTTCTACTGTCACTTGTAATTGGAGGACTTGTGAATCAGCAACCTGAACGCTAGTAAGGTATTTTGCCACGTGCTGGCAGTTGCATCTCCTCACCATGATGATTTACTATACTGCCTGCTGACCTGCAGAGACCACCATCTTGTGAGCTCTTTTTAAGCTCATTCAACTGCCTTCCTAAGCATTAGTACTGCCCACTTACAAGAGGCGAGAGCTTATTGATACGGGCAGGGAACGTTGTTGGAGCACTGCATCTGTCACTGCTAATGAGTCAAAAACCTACACACTCATCAAGATGTTCTACATTTTATTTCTTTTAAAACAGGAGAAGATGCATAATAAATAGAAACACATGTAACAGGCCGGGAAAATAAGACAGACTAAAATAAAGCAGAGGTGCAACCGCAGAAAAGTATTTGTAGACATAAGGATTTTATACATTTTTATATATAAATATACATATATAAGTGGTAAAACTAGGTATTAGAATAATCTGAAACTAAAAAGGATACAAACGCAGCTTAAAGAAAGCACTCATTATGTGAGTCACCCATTAAATGAAGCCTCACTTACAGTTTATAAAGGATTACTGAATGTTTAGCTACAAAGTCTCGCCCTCTTCAGAATTTCAGAGTGCATAAGAAATCCTGGTGAAGAAAGAAAACCACACTTCATGGAGACTTCCAACATTTTAATTCTTGACACCTTCCCGCTCAGAAGAAAATACAAACCACTCAAAACTGTTGCAAAAGGGAGCAGGTCCTGCAGCTGAGCTGGCCTGTGGCTAAGGTTGCCCCCAGCCAGGAATAGGAAGCCATGGGAAACGAAGCTGCCAAAACCCCACGAATCTTGATGCTCCCCAGGTCGTCTGCCAAGCCACCAGGGAAGGCACCGCGGAGCCTTGCCCAGCTTTCATCAGGACCTGACAGATGCGGAAACATCTCTGACACACATTTCCACCCCAGCAAATCAACAAATTCAGAAGAAAAAGGGTTCTGTTGGAACTTTTCCCAACCAGCTCGAGCTGTCAGCGTGCCTGTAGGACACGTTACAGATCGCTGCAAGCCAGAAGCTCCAGCAAAGCAGGGTACCTTTACGCAGATGGTGCTGATGGGCACAAGCAACCCAGGTGGGGTTTCAGAGCCACGTGGACACCCCAGCAGCACGCTGCGCCCAAGCAAACAGCTGCTGCCTCCTGCACCCTGCTCCGGACCAGGGCTGGCTTGTCCTTAACCAAAGCAGCGGTACCAAATGCCTGTGTGCACCTACCCACACAGATGCATTTCCATGAACACACTGGAAAAATTACACAAACATAACTGACTAGCAGGGAGGCAGGGGTTAATGTTGACAAGCAATTTGTTATATTCTTCATGAAATAAACTTTCATACAAACCCTTGGTCAGCATGTGAGTGTTCATTCCCCAACTTAGCTAGCCTAAGCATGGGCTTTGGGGACTGGCACAGCCCTGGTTTGAAGGCAAAGGGATGCTGCCACCCTGCCGCGCTGCCAAGGCCACTGACGCCTGGGTGCTCCCGCGCTGGTTTAGGTCACTGGTACTTGCGGCAGTGAAATCCTGGCCAGAAATCTGGGCACGCACAGGGTCTGTGAAGTAGGTTAGCCTGCTTGGGCATGCAGCCTGCCTGCACACGGTCAGGGGCCATTTATTATTTACCGGGGGCTTGATGTGAGGCAGGCTGCTCACAGTTTTCTTACCAAGTGCCAAATGTCCAGAAAAAACAGGGACCAAAGTTGTCTTCTACCTGGACAAAGTTCCAGGCTGGAGGACAGCCACACTCTGTAGCACCCTGGGAAAAGCTAGGGGTTGGGGGGGGAGGGAGGAGTGGCCTGAAGCTCATGAATTAATCACGCAGCACTGGCCCATATTTCCCCTTCCCAGCCCTAAACCCCTCCAGACAGGACACTTTCTTTGTCTGGCTCTCAGGTGTACCCTCAGTGACTTTCGGGTGCTGTCACAATGCAAACAACGTGCTCATTGCTCAGCTCAGGAGGTGACAACAGTGTAAGCCTTTATAGAGTGTCTGCCACCTTTCTATTCAGCTAACAGACATCTCAGTCCCTGGTGCCCTGCCTGCTGAGCCCTAAGGGCTCCATACCCACTTTTCAGTGCGTTGCCTGGCACAAGAAGCTGCCAGCCCAGCTCTTCCCCGTGCAAGCTGAGGGAAGCTGCCTGGACCCTCTCCTCCCTCCAGCCTGCCAAGGACAGACAGCGGGAACATGGCAAAACAGAGAGGGGGTATTATATTGAACATACAAACTGAGCAATTCATTAGGTGCCAAGATTCAAGGGGGGAAAAAGAAAAAACCCTGCTCTCGCTGACATGGGAGGTGCGGAAAGCACCACGGTAAATCCATGCCACGGCTCAGCGTTCACTGCGGGGCGTGCGAGCCAAGGCGTTTCTCCTCCACCCATCGCTGCTGCAACGATGCGGCCGCATGGATGCGCCGCCGTTTGCTTCCGGGTTTTGTGCCTGGCTGTGACACAGCATCAGCACGGCAGCGATGCTTAGCGCCTCTCTTCCCGCAGCTCCATTTTACAAGCGCTCGGGCACCTCCCGGCTCAGCGCGCTGCTGAGTGTAATTCCCGTTATTCACAGCTCTTCGTCTTCAAACCCCGCGCACTGCTTCCCCGGTGAATTTTTGCTAAGCGCAGACTAGCTTCTACCTGTTTCATTTGGCAGCAAAGCCACGGCGCTGAGTCTGTGACATGACAGCAATTTTCATGGCAGCAGAAGGAGATGCCACAAACTCAGCATCGTTTGCTGCAGGAGGAGGGGCTGACTGCTCAGACACAAGGCGGTGGCTTTCGCTCTCCTACAACTATTGTTTGCATTACAGTAAGAGCAACACAAAACATCTGTAAGCTGGTGACCGGCACAATCTGTACAAACTGCCTGTTTTGCTGGGTTTTTTTTAAATCAGCTTGGTTCAGCTCTTGTGAAGCGTGTCCATATTTTCACACGCTCCCAATGGTACAAGGCCAGCAGAGACAAGCAGCGTCCGCATCAACCTGCCAGACGATGCGCCTGAGCCCCGCTGCAGTCCCAAAATCTGCAGTGGGCTCTGCGCAATTACAAGTGAAGGTCGCATTCCTTCGGCCAGTAAATCA